TTTGAGATACAAAAACAAAGTAAAAAAATCAAATTAACTGAAAACAAAACAAACACCAACAACAAAGTTTACATAAGTACAGCGAAAACATATCTGGAAGCTGGTATTTAAGAATATGAAGTGCATTTTATTGTTTGCTCTTTAGATTTTAGTCTATTTATGTCTATCAGTGAATAGACACAAATTTAAATTTCTTTTTAAGAAATCAATTGAATGGGTATGGTTCCTAAAACAATTTGTTGGGTTGCCATACACATACTTATGAAATAAACCAATGGCAGACCCAATATGTAACTCATCAAGCTCAAAGCTCTACTATGGATGGTATTTATCAACACAAAAGGAAGCTTGTCAGTCTCCTTTACAGTAAGTAGCAAAAAGAGGATTAAACATTTACAGGTGGGAAAAGGATTTGGGCTGCTTTTCTTGAATCCCCTCAACAAATCTTCCTCCACATCTTTTCCCATCCCTATTTTTGTGACCATCAACTTCCAACATGAAAAATGTAGAAAAACAACAGGACACTAAAAGCAGTGTCCCACTGTCTCCAAAAGGAACACGTCTGAATAGCTCTGCATATGAGAATCCGTAAAGAAAAGCTTCTCAGATTTCCTCTCTTATGTTCTGTCAATTTAACTTTCAAGTTTGGAATTACAACTTATATGAAAACTTGGCTCATCTTTGTCTTAGAAAAGGCAAAAGCAGAAATTTGCCCAAACTAAAGTTCAGCATTTTGAAGCTTGCATATTCCCTACCTAACCTTTATTGGTTAAGCCTCTTTTGAGAATCGTCTCACCAAACTGATAAAAGAGCTTCTGCAATTTGTATGTTCTCAGCTCTGCCAGATGAGCAGCTCTGAAAGTCAGCCAAAGAAAATGCAGGCTCAAAGTCAGAACAAATTTCCCAACAGCAAAGCAATGAGGCCTTCGCTGCTTCCCTTGGGAAACCAGCCTGATAGCAAACCCAAGACTGAAAATTAGAGAGAGCGAAATACTCAAGTTTTACCTACCATACAATGGAATGAAGTGGGCTTAATGAGCCAGTGCTTTTTTCCATTTCAGTTTATATGTGTAGCATAGATCAAGGGTATCACAAGTTAGGAGTACTTGATAGGGTTTTTATTTAGCATTCCTAAGTAATTATAATTGCATATATGCTTCACAGCAATGCATTGATATTTCTTAGCAATACGAGGCAGGTAGTAAAGATCACGTGTTTAGAGCTGAAGGAATGTAACCCAAGTGACCTGAAAAAAATTGGCTAATAATTTGCCTGAGGTCATAAATAAATGAGCAGCATATCCAAGAATAAGTATAATTTCCTAACTCTTAGCTCCCTTAGATAATCATTTTCTTCTGAGTTCTTCAAAACTTTTCAAAATCCAAGAACCATAATTTACTCTACACTGCATGACTTCTCATACAGGATACCCAAACTCCAAAACATTGTACATTCTGTGACATATTAACAAGGATTTCCAGCAAAAATAATATATCAATATATTTATAGTGAGTGCTATCTTAGCTACTGTACTTTCATATATAGTTAAAAATCAAAAGATAGTTTTAGACCTACATTATTCAGTATTCTTAAACTTTTTACTAAATCCCTTATCAAGAAATGAATTGAGCTGGTTTTAAGTTTTAAATCTCATTTTTCGTCACAGTGAATTTAGCGGGTGGATCCCATGTGACAAACCATATGGACTAAATAAGGAGAATAAGGCATTATTTAAACAATGGTTCCAGCACAACTCCAAATCAGGTAAACAGGCAAAGTTTGCATAGCTGGATTTTTTTTGTTTATTTTTTTGTGAGTAAATGCTGTAAAAGTCATCATGTGTTGTCTTCATATCCATAGCAACACACAATTTATGCCATTTTATACTCAATTCCACACTCTACTTATGTCTCTTGCCAACACGACCATCTCCAATGGGCTTATGAACATACAGTAGTAGGCATGTTAAATGTATGTCTGTGACACTGTCATTCATTTAATTATGAAGCCTATAAATACTTACTGGGTACCGACTAAATGCCAAAAGTTGTGCCAGTGAACAAATAGACAGTCCGTGCACCCGTGATAGTTTACCACTATCTAGGAGAGGAGAGGGGCAATTATTAATATTTAAGCTACAATTATGATAAGTGCTTCAAAGGATAACACCTTGAGAGTGTCGAGCTTATCTCCCCTGGCCTGGGAGGTTAGAAAAAGTGTCCTTAAGGAAGTGACATTTACATTCAGACAAGAAGGAGGAGCAATGATCATGTGTGTTTACAGCTGAAGGAATGTAACCCATTCTGTGACATATTAACAAGGATTTCCAAAATCCTTGGACCCTATTGCTCTGGAGGGGGACTTACAGGCGGGAAAGTAGGGGGACCAGTGAGTAATTATATTCTAAAGTCCACCACAGTATATATCACAAAGGATATGGATTAAAAAAGAAATGAAACAAAATTTATTCCCTGCAGCAGGATGTGTGTGTGTGTGTGTGTATGTGTGTGTGTGTGTGTGTGTGTGTGTTCATGTGCGTGTGCATGTGCATGCTAGCCTCTGGATTATCTAGTGACACCATGCACAAACACTTCCTTTCCCCAGCACAGCAAGGGTTAAGCAACATGGGAATCTACGGAATCTCCCAATCTAGTAATGTGTTACTCTCTTGTCCGCCATCCATGGTTGGAAACAGCCCAATTTATGGACTTAAGACAGCCAAGAGAAAGAAAAAACAATGTGGATGAAGTTGAAAGTTACTGCCATGAGCCCTCCATCCCATTATATCCAAATACTCATAATGTCTTAGATAAATTCCTTCCAGACTTTGGATCTCTTACTAGAAGACATCTGAAAGGAAAATTTTTCAGGGTCATCCCACTTTTGATACTTTTTCTCCAAACAAAACAAGGTTTTAGCTTCTGCATCAGTTTATATAACTAGAACGTTTATTAAAAATGATAAAAAATTACCAAGTCTTTTCTATTGTCTTGGCAAGAATTACAAGCATACCAGGGCAAATAATTTACATGGGATTTAACATCCCCATTTATGTTGCAAAATAATATACATTATAAATATACAAATTTAAATGCCAATTTGACTTACTATACTGATGCTACTAGATTTTGTTTTATTTGAGGTCTTTTTAAAGATGTCAATGACCTACCATGAATACTGCAAAATTTCTTTTCAGTTATTCTTTCTCAATTGTCAACTCTGTTTTTCTACACACCCCCTTCCACGTGCTATTGTATTGTCTATTTCTCTCTATTTTCATAAATAGGTACAAAAGTAATTCACCCAGTTTCAAATGTTCCCTAAACTTAGGTCTATGAAGACTATGATGCTTTCAAATTGATCTTCAAACATGGTTCTAAGGCAATTCTTCCCCATGACTAAATTAAGCTGCTAAAAATTAAGTCTGTTTCACTTGTTCTATCTAGACAATGACCATATTATCCTCACTAATAACCAGGATGAATAATCTTACCCATATGAGCCTCATGAGACCACTGGAATCAAACAGCTCATATTCAGACTCTCCCAGTTGCCAAAACTCTGTTGCCCAGAGTATGGTCACATGCAGGTAGACAGTTCAAAAGTTTTGAGTAACATCAAGTCCAAAACACACACATGGATAACTGTGTCTCTAGAATAAAACAATTTAAATTTTACCAAAAAACACCTGTGTCTACTTCGGAATAGTCCTACCCATAAAATCACCAATTATGTAAGCACTTCTATATTTGAATTCTCCATATTCTTAACTCTTCTGTCAAAGTCAGTTTTCACATGCCTTACATTCTCAGAGGCAGGATAAAACATCCCTCAGCATAATGGTTTCCAGAGATAAGAGGGTGGGAGGGTGGAGGGGTAAAGAGTAAAAAATTACTTAATGGGTACAGTATACACTTTTCAGGTGATGGCTACACTAAAAGCCCAGACTTCGCCGCTACCCACCATAGTCACCTGAAAAATTGCACTTGTGCCTCCCTAAATCTATGAAAATTTAAAAAACAAAATTAAAATGCCCTCAACAAAAACTTGTATAGTGAAACCTAAGAAACATCACAGTCAATCAACTAGAAACACTGGATACAGACCAATCTTTAAACTGTGCTGCCAAGTAACTTTAAAATATCCTCATTTTTCCTCAAAGAAATACTACTATTAATTTCCCTGACCTTACAACTTTCCCAAATAGAAATAACTCTTAATTAAAACAGCTTTCATACTAGTTAAAAGCCCACAACAGTGTTTCTCTGAGAAAACTTTATTGCTCCTCTTGCTACAATATATTCCTACAATGCATTAATTTGAACACTCTCCTCCTACCTCAGAATTAGTAGACAAAATCCCAACTTAAATAACTAATGGACAATCATACTAGAACAAACTTGAAAATAGCACTGCCAATTCCTCTCTTCCGCATGCTCTGCCCCTAAAAAAAAAAAGTATTGATCAAAGCATTGATTATGTTCCAAGTGGTTAGAAATGCCGAGAAAGAACAGATCTTTGGGGGAAAAAATTAAGGAAGTACAGGAGAAAAGAACTCGAAGGGTAGATAAACATTATTAGCCATATCCAATAGGATAAAAAACCCTAAATAGTTTTGACAGGGCAGAAAGGCTGCCTGACTGATAACAATTTGGTTTTAACCAAGCAAAATGAAATCATCATCCTTTTAACAAAGTGAACAAAAAAATTTCCCAAGGTGCTCATTTCCTATATGTGCCAGGATTCACGGAACCGAAAGCAGCAAAACTGTTGGTTTAGGTATCTGGAGATGGCTGGGTAAAAGTAAAAAGCACCACATAAACTGTTCACATCAGAATTTCCATTTAAACAGACTAAAAGAAGAGTAACTGTATCTGCATACTCAGAAGATTGCAGTTAGATCACAGTTCATGGGGAAAATCTGCTGCACTTCCAACCAAACTCCATCAATCAGAATGAGGCATGTGAGCCATTATAAAGTTTTTGGAAGTCTTGGTTACCTTTGAAAATCGAGCATTTATCCATTTGGTAAAGGTTTTCTTCTGCACGTCATTGTGTTCATCTGTGGGAAAGAAAAAGAGAGAGAAGGGAAAAGCATGAGAGTTTGTACCTTTAGTAAGGCACTAAATAAAGCTTATCTCTACCCTGGGGAGTTTAAAATAGTCCTATTGGTAGAGCTCTCAGGGCACAATGAGGCACAGCTAACGCAGAATGTGATGGTCGCCCAGTTCATCATTTGTGCAGCCTGACGGCGCCTACAACAGAGGGAGGCTCGGGCACCGCTCCCAAGGGACCTGGCTGTCTCACCCTAAGCCCCGGTGTATTGCTGCCAGCTACTAAATCGGGTTGATAAGATATAATGAGGACCTGACTTTCTAACTCCCACACATAACACTTTCCATTGCATTTTGTTTAAGTACAATTTCAGCACAATCAAAATGTTAGCATATTCAAAACAAAACTCAAAGTTATTCAACAAAAACTAAGGAATTCATAACTTCCTGCCTTTTAATACCAGCCCTACACTCTCCAGAACAATAGTTCAAGATTTAGAGACAATCTTGTAACCCATTTTCCTACAGTTAAGACCAAAAAAAGGTTTTAATGACCCTCATCTATCCAAAGATTTTACAGGTAGAGAAATCAGAGGAGCTTAGAAACATTATCAACTTTGGTTTTGATTACAAATTCATTTTCCAAGTCACCACAAATGAAAATTGATTTTAAAAAACTAAAGTACCCTGAACTTCTTGATGATGGGCAGAATGATTTGGTCCTATATGAGGCGGCCATGTGGCATGACAAAAAAAGCAAAGGACTTCAGAACCAAATAGACTACACCCCAAAGCACTTATTGTGTGACCTTGAGTAAGTCATTGTAGTAACATCTCCTGGCCTCATAATTTTCTCATCTGTAAAACAGGGGTGAATAATACCCAGTTTGCAAGGGAACTGTAAAGATTAGTGAATATAAGTGGTAAACATTTGACAAAGAGCTGGTGTTCAGCTTGTTGTTATATATAGTAAAAGTGTAAGCAAGGCAGATAAACAAATGTCCCTTTCTGTTATTTCCAATCATACCCTCTTCAACCTCTCCCCAACTTTATATTATAAACCAGCAAAAGAGTCACAGTTGGCTTCAAGCCTACAAAGTAGCATTTTAGCTCTGAAAGTCGGAAGAGTATCTGGATCAGCGCAGAAAGCTGTAGTTCCATCTGTACGTATCACTGCCTGCCCTGCCGCCGTCCACACTGCTGGGCTGACTCTCACCGCACATCAGCAAAATAATAACGAAAGAGGCCCAAGTGTGCTGTGCTCTCCACGCATCAAATCCAAAAGGGGCTCCCTTCTGCATATAAACACACACCTTTCTCACCAATCTCTAACAGGATAATGAGAAGTTCACCTGCTATTTCACCAAGTTCGAGGTATCTTTGGTCCTTACTCCCTTCTGGAAGGAGAGTTCATAATTAAAAGGTCATTCCTAGAATAAATATAGCAGTGGCTTCAGAAAAGAGTGCACTTTTACCGATCCATAAAGGTAATTGGAGATTGACTCCAAGACACTAAGGGAGAAACTGGGATAGAAAACAAAACTGTTCTCTAAGAAACTTCCTGATGTTAATGTAACGGTGCTGAGTGGTGACCTTCCTTCCAGAAAGGACAATGAAGACAGCATCAGCCCGTTTCAGGATTTCTATCACCTGATCAATGCCACACATAAGCCATTCGTTAACCAAGAGGACTTGCTTACACGCTGAAATGTCTGAGCCTTTACCATTTTACCCAAAAGGGACAGAGTACAGATTATACTCAGAATATAAGGCTACCACCCCACATCAACCTGCAGAGGGCGCTACACCAGACTCATCAAAATGAATTTAATATTAAATATCAGTGTTCAGGGCACTTGGAAAATCCCATGATTTTTCCCACTACCTTAAAAAGAATTTACTTTTGTAAACTTTGCCATATCCATTATTCTTTAGTCCTATGAATAAAAAATATAGAAAGGTCATAAATAAATATTAATATTAAATTATCTTAATTTCATAACATTTATACAACTTAAGAAGTTTTGGCCATAAAAATGGGAAAAATTCTAAAGGAGAAATACACTACACTTTATGTTTTCTTAACATAAAGCTTCTTTTCAGAGCATGTAACTTTATTTCAAAAAACATATTAAAATATTTAATACTATATAGGTTTCTCTCCAGATATAGAGTAAACAAAGAAATGAGTACCTGTCACCTTATTAAATGATATATAAGATCTTTCCATTTTATCACATATACAATGAAATCAAATGTTAAACTGGATTTCTCCCTATACAGAACGTTCATAAAAAATAACAAGGAAATGTTTCTATAATAGCCTTTTTTCTTTGGGTCTAATCAGTAACTGAATATGACTCTAAGTAACTGATAAAATATGTGCCTGTAAAAGATAAATTGTCTAACATCCAAATGTTTAAAAAATACTCCAAAAAAATGTATAAATATTCTTCTGCATTCATTTTCCTGATATAGTTAAAGAGGGGAAAAAAAAAGATTCATATTTCAATAAGCCTTCAGTTTGCATTTCTTTTTTTTCAGACACAAACACACATCTTATTTTCTACCAGATAGGAATTCAGTAAAAAAAGAATTATCCTGTGGCCTTTCAATTATGAGATTAAAAAATGTAACAAATTTGGAATACTTATTAGTATAGAACTGACCTCCATCCACATCATAACAATTAAGGTAAACAACCTTGGCCAGGTCTCTGTATCAGAGAGGTGAAGACAGACTAGCAAACTGGTAATGGGGCAACTAAAAATCTGTCATGCTGTTCTGGTCAATCATTTTGCCCTCCAAGAAATTTATGCAGAATTACAACAGTCTCAAATTATTTCAACTTTCATTAGCAAGCCAATTAGTTATTTCAATTTCTCCAAAGCAAAAATGTGTGAGTACATAACAAATTTACATATAACTTGATTATGTGTACATGTATTAAATGAGTAAGTATAATTTACACTGCAAATCCACCTTCTCTAGATGTATCCTTTCAGGTTGCCAAACTTCAACAACTCTTCTTTAGATTTGGGATTGGAGAAAAACCATTTCGCTTCTGAAAGCCTTTGCTGGCTTAGCAAATCTTATCCATTAATGACCTTTCTCCATTAGGGGGACAAACACGAGACTGAATTAGGAGAAGAAAAATGTGTTAAATCCCTTAAGGCTGCTTTTCCAAATTCTTCCTCTAAATATTTTGCTCTTCTTAAAATGCTTTTGACATGCTCACACAGATCCAAGGGCCTCCTTCCCTGCTGCCTAGCCTGGAATTTCATTTCTGTGGTAGGTAAGGGAAGTAAAGCAAAAAAAAAAAAAAAAGCCAACAAAAAACTGCTTGATAAATCTTCAAGGAAACTAGTTTGAAAATGTTTTCACCTCACCAGCTCGAATGCATATCGAAAATTCTTTTAGAGAACTCAGCAACAAATCTTAATTTAAACCCTAAACTGGAAATGTGGCAGAGAAAATAGGAGTTGTTTCCCCTATGGAAGCACACAAATCTTGGGAAGATGTATATATACCACCACTAAAACTCTTCGCTATTAGGGAGAGAGCATTATCCTCTAGCACATTTTTTGAAGCAATTTAAGAGTGTCCAATTGGCTGGCACTAACTTAAAATGAGTCCCAAAAAATGCAGCTATTCAGAAAAGAAGTCCTTAGACTTTAAGCCAAAAAAGAAATGTCTTGTTGGATGATTTAAAACTTGGATGGACTTCACTGAGTCCTCTTTCACAAATATGAAATTTAACACACCCTAGAAAGTCAATTTCACATCAGCAAAAAAGATGATTTCGGAAGTATTTCAGACCACACTCCCACTTCTTTTTCTGGGTACTACATGTGAATCACCCCCAATATAAACCTACTGCTAAGATTATTCATACCATTCTGCTCTCGTGTTTCCTCATACCTAATTTGTTGGTCTCTGAACAACCCCCTTTCATTTATTCAAACAATATGCATGGAAATTTCATATGGAAATAATAAATATTACATAATAACATGTAAAATATTATAAATATGTAGACAAAGAAACAGAGCCAACAGGAGACAGACTGCTCTCGAGCTGAGTGCTTAAACCCCCTGCGTTTCTTTCAAAATCTAGCATCCCCTCAGAGGACCCAAAAAATGCCTAAAATTAAAAATGTAGTTTTCAAAAGTGTCAAAAATACCTACGTGTACAAGAAATTTAGATGGTTAACATTTCAAATGTTATTTCTGTGAGCTTGCTGCATTTAAACATTGACATTATTAAAGCTAAAAACTTCCTTTATTTATTTATTTACATATTTACTTATTTATTTAGAGACAGAGTCCCACTCTGTCACCCAGGCTAAAGTACAGTGACCTGATCATAGCTTATTATGACCTTGAACATCTAGACTCATGCAATCCTCCCCTCAGCCTCCCAAGTAGCTGGAACTACAGGCACACACCACCACACCTGACTAATATTTTTATTATGTGCAGACAGTGTCTCTCTTATGTTGCCAGGCCAGTTTCAAACTCCTGGCCTCAAGTGATCTTCCTGTCTCAGCCTCCCAAACTGCTGGGATTACAGGCATGAGCCACCATGTCCAGCCTAAAAACTGCATTTAAAACAGACTTTCAGATTAGCCTGTAAAAAACAAAATACAAGTTGGTGGTTTCTTTGGGAGAGGTGGAGACAGATGGAGTGAGAGGGAAAAGAAAAACAACTCCACTTTTCAAAGAAGGCTGAAGCCCAGAGACAAGTGAAATGAATTGCCCAGCACCACCTGCCCAGTAAATGCAGGACCACACACAGAACCAGGTCTAGCTGACCGCTGAGCCTGTGTTCAATGCACTTCCAAGTAGGAGGAGGTTAAAAAGAGCCTAATGGGAAAAAGGAGGCTTTAAAATACATCTTGAAAGACAGATGAAGTCTGGGTCATGCAAAGATTGGAACAAGGGCATTCTAAACAGAATGTGGCTAATCAATACCTTCTTCATTTCAGCCTCAGACTCAACACCTGACC